CTAACCTACACACCTGTAGTGCCAGGAAACAACAAAACCAGAATATCTCAGCCTGAGGAGGAGTGACCGACAAGGTGGTGGAAGAATTTTCCTGTTGAAATTTTCCAGAGAATCTGTCTTTTGCAATGCTATTATAAAGAAATGCTTATCAGAAAACACTGGAGCCTGACAAGTACCCCACTGAAACATGACTCCATAAAACAAAACAGAGCCACACTGACCTAAAACCCCCAACGACTTGAAAAAGCAGAGAACTGTTAGGAAATCAAGCAACAGAAGACCACAAAGGACTACAGCTCTGTTGTAAGACAATGAAAATCCAGCTGGCCTAAACCAGAAAATATGCATCAGTCATTTCAGGGAGAAAATTTCACTAAAAACACAAGCAGGAGTTGGTGACATTTAAGGGAAGTATTGTAAAGATGTCTCCTAAGGAATTAGTTTCTCTGATGGGACCCTAAAACAGGGGCAGGTACTTTACAGCAAAATTTTTTTGTTTGTTTTTTAGCTCATACAGCAAAAATTCCACGCACTAGTGCTATTGTGTTCTCATATGAGGCCTTTCCTTAGACGAAGAATATTTATTTCCTTCGTGAAAGTGGTTCTTCAGAGCCAAGCCCTAGAGTATCACACTCCAGACTTGAACTGGATAAGCTGCTGTGTGTTATCACCAGACTGAAGCCAATGTCCCAAGGATGGAATGCAATTCACAGCTGGAAAAATGCCTGAGTGCTGCACAGGCTCTTGAAGATGCCTGAAAGCCTCAGAGCCTCAGTTCCTCCCACCTCAGACCCACCCACACCGAGCTTCCCTCACAGACATCTCAGGATTGCCCCAGTCATACCTGGAGTTCTTTGCACTCCCCTCTTCAGCCCTTTTCTTTCATTCTTCAAAGCTTAACTAGCTTTTCTAAACCTTCTGGTCTGCTGTTTCTCACACACATACGCACATCCCTTTCTCTTTTACTCCAAGGTTGTTCCAGTTTGCCTCATGCAAAGTTTATGACCTTAGAATCACACAGATCAATCCCCCCAAACTTATCTTAAGTAATCAACACACTAATCTTCATTAATTACAGTAGGGTAAGGTAAGATTGATATTTCAAGACCACAGTTCTCAAAATAATTTGTCTTGTCACATTAGAGCACTTCAAAGTGAAACACACCTCATTAACACCAGCTGTAATTTTAATTTTGAAGTTTCATTAAAAAAAAAAAAATCTTTTTTTCCCCCTTGTTTTAATCACTGTTTCAACAAAATTCTAGGATGGGATCAAAATGGTTTATTCACAGAACACTACAAGACTGGAATCATATCAGACCAATTAATTAACAGTAATTAACCTGCAAAGCAGTATTTGTGAATTGAATGTGTCCTATTGCCCTCACCCCACATCTTAAAGAGTTTCTTTGAGGGCAGAAGGGACAAACCCCCCTGCCATAACAGCATCTCAAGGCACACAAACAGCAGAAGAGAAGATACCCACACCAAGCCAGGGGCACAAGAAACACAACTTCAAGCTTCTTCTCTGTGAGTTTGGAGCCCATCTTTACAAATTCTACTTAACTTTCAGAATATTTTTTTCATCCTACCAGCCAAAATTTCAGATTTCACAGGTATCAAGGCACAGCACCTCCTCTAGTGTAGATCCACAGTCCCCATATACGTTTCCAGCATTGCTTTCAGCCACAATACATAAAAAATCTACCCAGAACCTGGAATGTGATAAGGCCTGGAGAGCATGAGGTTGCCTGCAGCATGTTACTAATCCACTGCTATTGCCCAAAGGCCGAGGAAGGGTAAGAAACACTAATCCAGACACACCACCGAGCTCCAGGAGGAGCAGCACAGCATAGACTTTGTCAGGCCCAGCAGAGCCTGCTGCCCTCAGAGCCAGCCCCAGCACAGGGCTCTGTGATGAGGTTACCCATGCTGCTGGAAATGTCATCTTTCATGTATGATATAAACCCTTTCTGTAGCCACTAACAATACTCTGGCATTGTTTGAAACACGTAGGGTGTTGCGCTGGCTGACACCCAATTCCAGTAATAATATTCTATCTACCTACAGTAACCACAAGAAAATGTTCTTCATTTTCAGCCTCAAGTGGTTCTGCAGCACATCCAGCTCCTGAGAGAGCTGCCATACTTCCCTGGAAGTCCTGCACCTCAGCGTGTAGTTATCTGCCTGCACAGATCAGGCACTTCTCCAGAGCTGTAGAAACACCTTGAGATCACTGGGAATAAAGGAGCTCCTTCCACACAGCACAATTAGTCATATCAGCAGCGATAGCTATTTTGAGCAGCACCCATTAATCACTATCATTAGCAGGATTTCTGGTGTACCAGCATTCATTGTACCAAGAACAAGTCTCTTCCTATTCCAGTACTACTACATAAACAAAAGCAGCAGCACAACTTCTCTTGCCTCTCGCTACTCAAAACAGGGTTGTGTCAAGTGGCAGCACTCAAAATGACTGTCAGTGCCAGGTATAAAGGAAAGCTTACTTACACCTTACAGGACAGAAAAACACAATTGTTTTGCTGCAAAAAAAAAAAAAGACTGGCCATCATTTGTATGCTGAGGAAGAAGAGGTGTTGAAAGATAATAAATAGTGGGAAGAAGAGAGAAATAAAGCTCTCGAGGTGGAGACAGCAGATCCACAGAAATTTAAGATCCAAGTCATAAAATCCAAGTTGAGGCCCAAGAAGAAACCTCCACTTCTCTTTTAAATGTTTGTTGCAGATATTTTCATTATTATTTTTTATGAGGGACTATTTACACGTTAATCAAATTTCAGAGTCTCAAGAACAGACATTCAACCAGAAAAATATTCCCTGTACGCATTATTTCTAGTTTCCTAAGTGCCCTGAGTAACTCCTGATGCAGGACGAGAAATGCCAATGGAAGGGTTTCTGCCTTACACTGACCTAGGAAGCAGCACCACAAAATTCATGGAAAGCAGTGGCTCTGTGCTGCTTCCAGCTTGGTTACCCACACCTCAAAGGTTCCACAAAGCACCAGAAACACTTACGTTGCCCTGAAACACCTTCTTCCCAACGACAGATTAAATACTTACAAAGTCCTTCTGGGAAGAAAAGTACAAAACAGAAAATAAAGGAAGAAAGAAAAACCTCGTGCAAGTCTTGAACTTGGAAAATCAGCCATTCCTTACAGAAGGGCCCAGCTTATCCTCTCTAGAAACGTTGCCGGGTAGAAGACTCCAGCCAAGTGCAAAATCATGTTGATACCCACGATACACAAATAGCACCTGTGCACATACCAAAACCGGCCAACACCGCTGATCCCATGAGCTGCATTCCAAAACCTCCATGTGGCCGGGAGCCGCCGACACACACCACATACCTCAGCGAGGTGAGGGAAGGGGAGCTCCGGCCGCCCATCGCCCACAGAAAACAAAAACAGTTCCTCAAGAGCACCACTGCCTCTTTGCCCAGAGCGCTGGGCTGAGAGAACAGAAACAGCGAGCAACAGTAACCTGGAAATCCACAATCTCTAGGTTTGAGGGTGTCCACCAGCCACCCCGGCGGTTCCACGGGCAGTGGCATTTTGGGAACCAGCCGAGTGTGCCCCTGAACCACTGGATGACCCACTGAAACACGCTGTGGTTACACGGCGCTGGGGTTCCTGCTCTTCAGACACTCCGACACCTGCTCCTCCATAAAAACAACAGCGATAACAACAATGGCCGATTTATACCTGCAATAACGTTTATAATCGCTCATAAAGCAAACAAACAAGATCCTCCAACCGCTTTCAAATTCCCAAGCCGACATCCACCCGACAAACACGTACCTGCACCACTTCCTCCCCGCTCACACGACAAAACCCCTGGAGCAGGGAGAGGCAAAGGAACACCAGTAAAGTTTGAAGCTACAGCCCAAAACGCGTTATCCTCTTCTGCTGGCAGCTACCATATGCACACAGCATAAGGCTCGGCAACCACAAGCGGCACTTCCAGCTCGCATCAGGTGAACAATCTGTGCGGGCCGCGCTGCGGGGCCGGGGGCAGGGGGGCCCGGGGCCGCGCTGCCAGGAGTCCGGCCGGCACCTCGCCCGGAGGCCGCACGTCGGGGCCGCCCCGGGGCCGGGGGCGGCGGGCCGGGTCCCTGTGGATCGGGAAGGTGCGGCAGGAATTCCCGCAGGCGCAGTCCCGGCCCGCCGCGCCTGCCCGGGCTGCCCCGCACACGGGGCACGGCGGCCGGCCACGGGGGGCGGCCGCGACACCGCCGGCTGCCCCGACAGGGACGGCCCCGGGCTGCCCCCGAACCGCCCCGGGCTGCCCCGACACGCCCGGGCCGCCCCCGGCCGCCGGCTGCCCCCGCCGCGCAAGCCGCCCGGCCCGCCGCCGGCAAGTCGCGGCCACAGCCCGGGCACGCCGCCTGCCTCCCCCGGCCGGGCTCCCCCGGCCCCGCGCTGCCTGCGCCGCCCCCGAGCGGCCCAGGCGCTGCCCGGCCCCGCCGCTCCCCGCCGCCTCCGCGCCCCGTCCCCGCGGCGCCCCGGGGGCGGAGCGGAGCGGCGGCACCCAGCCGAACGCGCCAGCCCGGAGCCCCGCACGGCCGCCCGCGGCAGGGCGGCGGGGAGCGGCGGGAGCGGCGGGGCCGGGGAGGGGCGGCGGGCCCGGGCCGGGCCCGGGCTCGGCGGGGTCGGCGCGGCCGCTCACTCACCTGCCCGCGACAGCCCCCGGGCCCCGCGCCGAGCGGACTCGGAAAACGGCGGCGCTCCGCCGGGGCCGGGGAGGGGCCGGAGAGGGGCGGCGGGAGCCGCGAGTGACAGCGGGAAGGGGAGGGCGCGGGAAGCGGCGGCGGTGCCGGCCGAGGGCCGAGGCGGGCTGAGGGCAGAGGGGACGGGACGGCGGCGATGGGGGAGCGGGGGACCCGGGCTGGGGGATCCGCAGAGGGGGCTTTGGGCGGTCCCGGGAGGGGTCACACGGACCGCCAGGGACGGGCCCGGCCGTGAGGGGAGCGCGGGGGAAAGAGGCCGCGGGGCGGCCTGGCACGGGAGAAGGGGAAGGAATAATGAGCGAATGTTTTATATGTGCTTAAAATTTTGAGGTTTCTCATTGTGCCGTTTTGCGGTCCTGCCTCAGGAGAGCCTCTGGAAATGGAAATGGAGAACCCCGGCGGCACCTGCGAAGTTCTCTGTTGTTCCTCCTCCATCCAGAGCCGCCCGCCGGGCAAGCTGCAGGATGGAACGCTGCTGCTCCATGGATTTATTTGGGAATTAGGTAAAATGCACAAACATTATCTCAAATGGATCCCTTGGACGTGACTGTCATGGTGCTGCCAGCTTTAGGAGTTGTTCAGAAATAGGCCTGGTCTGTGATGGCTTTGCTGTGCCAGTTTAAACTGGTTCGATGTTATTTCTCAGGCTGAATGCAGATTTTATACAGAAAAGTTTGCTGTGCAGTATGAGGTGTATTCAAATCCTCTTTCCATGGAAATAGTCTTCTGTTAATCCTGTCTTTCTTAGTAAAAAGTGATTGGTTTTTATTTACAGGGCTTATTTAGAATCTTATATTTTACATGGAACAAACATTTTAAATGTACAGAAGTGTCTGGTAGAAGTTAGAAAATAAGGTAATGTGTAGTAGTAGAAGAGTAGTTAAAAATTGTTGGAATATATGCAAGCAAAAATTTTGCCTACAGGGCTCAGCATCCAATCATCTGGCTCTAGTTCCCCCCTCAAAAAAACCCAAACCCACACACTTGGATACGATACTCATAAAGTGAAAATAACAGTAATTTCAGTGCTGCTAATCAGAAAACTCTGTGGGAAGAAGTGAAATTGTCAATTTATTGCACACCTTCCAGCCACAAACTAGAAATAGTCCTCAAGTAGTGTCTGCGGGGAGCTGCCTGGGAGCAATCTGTGGCTTTGTTTCCCTCTCTGGAACAGATGGTTGCTGGCAGACTGGGCTTCTCATCAGTGCCTCCCTCTGAACTCTCCTGATTCTTGCATGTCTGCTAAGTGTGTCTCTTCCTAGTAAATTTAGTCCTCAAATTAAGAGATACCTGGGAAATACTTGGAAAGACACAAGGGAACAGAAGGCTGTCATATTGTTGGCTCCTGAGAGAGAGAGAGAGAGGTGTTAGAGTATTCTTGTACTGGAAGACTATATACTGAAAGTATAAAGGGCTGGAAATGGTAACTTTTTTCTTTTTTTTTCCTGCTTTTAACTAAAAGGTAGAGGAAATATTGATTTTTAAAAAAGATAATGACTCTGATGAGGTTTCAACAAGGTTTTGATTGGAAGGGAGGTCTAGGTAGGAAGTGGAAAAACTGAGTGTAAAGGAAGTCAAAAGGACCCTGAAGAGGAAGGGAAAGAGAAAATAAAATACTGGGATGGATTTTCCTTCCTCCCAGGCCAGATTTTGAGGCTAGACCTTAAAAGTAAAAAAAAAAAAAAAAATCCCACAAAATGCCTCTTGGTTTTGTGTTGGTTTGGGTTTGGGGTTTGGGGGTTTTTTTAAGGAATGAAGAGAGAGAGATTAACACACAGAGACAGACATATCTTTTTTGGGATACTTATATTCCCTGGCTATGGGAAGCAGGGTGGCCAGTCTGGAGCTTCTTAGCTGTGACTGACTCTGGAGGAGCTCGAGTTGGTCTTGTGCTGGGGCCGTGTCACCCAGAGCAGTGCTGGGGCTGTGTCACCCAGAGCAGTGCTGGGGCTGTTGGAGGAAGAAGGAAACCATCAGGAGGTACTAAGGCAAACACTGCCACTCACACTTGAGTCATGTGGCCTGTCCACTCCAGGCCTGTTGCAAAAGAAGTCTGAGCTCTGGTGAGCTGTTGACATTTCCCACCTGAGAACCGTTCTGCTCTCCAGAAACCCTCTCCTCTCCAAGCCACCTTGCAGTTCTTGGCTGTGATATGGTGCTTCAGGATCACAGCCACCTCCTGCCCTGGTGAACAGCTGGCAATGACATTGCACAGCTGGTGGCCACCCACCACAACTCCTTCTGTCATACTCTGTGTTTTACCAACATGCAGTTCACAGTCACAGAATGTGCTGAGTTGGAAGGGACCCACAAGGACCATCCAGTCCAACCCCTGGCCCTGCACAGGCCC